TGTTGCTTGTTGACCTGAATATAGGTTTCTCAGGAGGCAGATAAGGTGGTCTGGTATTCCCATCTTTTTAAGGATGTTCCAATTTGTTGTGATCCACACAGTCTAAGGCTTCAGCATAGTCAATGAAGCAGAAGTAGATGTTTTTCTAAATCCAATAAAAGTTTGCTAAAATTTTATTGGATTTAGAGCTCACATTTTATGTAAAGCTTGGAGACCTTGATGCTTAATAGCTCCAATTTATTATTTCTCTAAGGTTTTAAAGTGTCACTAAACTTTATTTCACCAATGGAAATAGTTAATAGTAAACATTAGGGTGTGAAGCAAAAATATGCTATTCATCCAGCGTTATCAAGAAAAATCCATAAGTATTCATCAGAGAAAGAAAAAGAATTTGAGAGCTGAAGAGCTTTCCAGAAATTAGCTAATCAGAGTTGGCAAATATTTAGCACAGATGCTTCCGCTTCCTCAATCCGTATCCATAGCAGACATCGTCAATCAATCACTACATTCTTCTCCTGTGTCTGAGTAGAGCTTCAGAGTTCTCAATTCTCAGAAACAACTCTTGATTTAGATAGTAGATTCTTCAGTTATAGGCAATGGAAACCAACTTGAGCCAACCTGGAGCCAAATAGGGAGAAATTTCGTACAAACATACAAAGATACCTCCCCAAACTCAAATGCAAGAATGCAGCTGGGCCTGAGCAACCAGGAACCTGAAACTTCTTGATCTCTGGGTTTTTGCATGCTTCCCTATTTTCTGTCTGCAGTCAGGCTTTCTCTGCATTTCTAGCTGCTTGAGATCATGTGGTCACTCAGACTCAACGTACTCATGTTTAGAGATTTTTTTTTTTTTTATGTTTAGAGATTATATCTGAATCTTAGCACCAAATTCCCAAGAGAGAGGGTCTGAGTAACCGTGCTTGGGTCAGGTGACACCGCTGGCCCGGTCAGCCATATTCTAAAAGAAGTGACAGCTTTCAAAGCGTCTATGTTATGCCCAGTCCTGTGGACCAGGGAGCAGTTCTCAGAGAGAGCCAGGATGGCTCACAGCCTCAGCAGATAGCCTGGGACATTTTCCATTAATCATTATCCATCAACAGGCAGGGGCACAAGATATGGAACATATTTTACTTTCAGGATCTAAAGCAGGGCAGACCAATAGAATTTTCAGTGATGATGGAAATGGTCTATATCTGCACTCTCCAATATGATGGCCACCCAACTCACATAATAGGAAAGAAAACTAAAGAGGAGTCCCAGCTTTTATTTCCAGTTGTGCTATTAACTAGCTATGTGGTCTGGGAGCTCGGTTTTCATACCTTTAAACTAGAAAGTCCCTTAGACTGCAAAGAGATCACATCAGTCCATCCTAAAGGAGATCCGTTCTGAATATTCATTGGAAGGACTGATGCTCAAGCTGAAACTCCAATACTTTGACCACCTCATGCGAAGAGCTGACTCATTTGAAAAGACCCTGATGCTGGGAAAGATTGAAGGCAGGAGGAAAAGGGGACGACAGAGGATGAGATGGTTGGATGGTATCACTGACTTGATGGACATGAGTTTGAGTAAACTCTGGGAGTTGGTGATGGACAGGGAGGCCTGGCATGCTGAAGTCCACTGGGTTTCAAAGAGTCAGACACGACTGAGCGACAGAACTGAACTGAACTGAACTGAAACTGGAAAGGCCTAGATTTACACTGTCTAGTATGGTACACTTTTAATGTGTCTGGGGTACTCAATCTTTTTTTCAACGTTTTATTTATTTGGTTGCACTGGGTCTTAGTTGTAACCTGTGGAATCTTTAGTTGTGGCATGTGGGATCTTTCGGTTTCGGCATGCAAACTCTTAATTGTGTCATACAAACTCTTAGTTGTGGCATGTGGGATCTAGTTTCTTGACTAGGGATCGAACCTGGGCCCCCTGCATTGGGAGCACAGAGTCTTCACCACTGGACCACCAGGGAAGTCCCAAGGGGAACTGAATTTTTCATCTTATTTATTTTTAATTAATTTAAATTTAAATAATTGTATGTAGCACTATACTAGACAGTGTAAATCTAGGCCTTTCCAGTTTAAAGATATGAAAACCAGGCTCCCAGACCACATAGCTAGTTAATAACACAACTGGAAATAAAAGCTGAGACTCTTCTTTTTAATTTTCTATCCTATTAGTTGGAATTGGGAAACCTAGATTAGTGGTCTTACCAGATAATGCAAATTTGTCATTTTAAATGTCTAGACCTAACCATTCTTTGATGTAAGGCTTTCTGAAATGGATTAAGCACTTTCCTGCCTTGGGAGGAAAAAAAGCCATGTGGCCATAATTGTAGACTTTTCTGAATGACACAAAACTGTAATTGTGAAGCGCATGTGTCAGTCTGGTAATATAACGGGGCCCTGAGAACAGGGCTCGGTGAGGCTGCCAGGGCTGGCATCTTCCCCACACGGCACATCTCTGCCGCCAGGAGTGAGTGGCAGCTTCTTCCCTCCTTGTCACATCCTGATGTGACAGCTTCTGACAGCATCCCACCCCCCTTCACTAACTCAGCAATGAACCAAGTGTAGGCACTTAATCCATCACTGGGTTTAATTTCACCCACAATTCTAAACCATGAGGCCTGGGGGAGCTTCACAACTGAGTCAGGTACACAGAGTTTTGTACAAAATTTTCCACAACACATATTTTTTTTTTCCCTTAAAGGTCTATGACAATGCAAGTCTCATAAAAGCTGATTGTGGGATAAATGGTATGATGCTTTATTTTACTTTAATTGTGCAACAATAACGTCAGTGCTGTCATGGCTAGGGTCCTGAGGCAGAATAAGACTGTGCACAAAATAGTTTGAGAAATGAGCCTGAAGTTGGGTATGGATTATTTTAGATCCCTTTCCTGAGCTGTTTCTCCATTGTGTATGCTTAAGTCATGGGATAGGAACAGCTTTATGAGTCTTTTGAAGATGTTCAAAAAACCAAAGTAAATGTTAAGAATGCTAAAAGAAGTAACAGTACAGTCATCTCAGTATTCTGTATTTATACAAAGACCAGATTTGTAGTCATTGTATCTATTCAAAACATACCTGAGTGTTTGGAAGCCAGAAAGGGCTCAAAACAAGGAGAATAATTGTCATAAACCCTATGTACTAGAGTCCCTGGTGGGCACCCAGGGGAAACGAGTCACTCAGATGGCCTTCAGCCTGGGTTCCATGCTCCACTCCTGGGCCCCAGCATGAGACCACGTGAAAAGGGTGATTGTAAGGAAATCTGGGTTCTGCTTCCCAGATCCCCAAAAGCCAGTGAATGACTATGCACTCTGTTCATCTCCTCTCGGGAGAAGATAATCCCTTTGAGAAAAAGTCCCCTTACACAATTAAAAGTTCAGGTTTCTTGGCATCAAATGAGGGTAGCTTTCAGTTGTCTGGAAAAATTGTTCATATAGGCACCAGCAGCAGATAGGCATTCTGGATTTTTCCTTGGCCTTCTGGAACAGGGTGAGGTTTTGCTCATGCGAAGTGCTCGTTTTGCCTATGCACTGCTTTAGAAATAACTTCACCAACATGTTCATCATTCCATTATTATTTATAGACAAGTTTTGATTATCCACCAGGCAGGTTCCTGGCACGGTTTTCAGCCCTCTGTTTGTCGTTCTCACCTCCCACTGACACACGCTTGCTGCAGCTTGTAGCAACTTAGAATTTCCCCTGAGTCACGGCTCAGCCGTCCCCCACTCCGAAGAGGGCTGCAAACCAAAACAACCCTGATCTACCTTTCCCCAGCCTTCCCCAAGAGAGTTAGGAGGTCCCCAGGGAGACCTGTGGGGGGGGGGGGGCGGGGAGCTGTGATCAGGGACTGTAGTCGCCAGGTAGCAGGAAGAGCCCCAAGTGCACACATGCCAGTGGCCTGGAGGCTGGAGAGTGAGGCACTGACTTGGGCATCGTTTTGTTGTTTCAAGTATTCCGTGTTCCTGAGACATGGGACACTCCCTCCCCACCTCAGATTCTAGAGGTGTACAAATTGCTAATTCCCATTGTAAGTCCTTCCTTCCTGTCTGCACCAGGAGCCTCCAGGGAAAGCAGCACTGCAAGCAATTCACAGTAAAGGACCTCTTAAAGATATCTGACTGCAAGTGCAAAGGATAAAATATTGGAAGCTGAGCTAAACTTAGAAAGGTTTTGGCTGAGGGGGGTCTTCTGGGTCCCCCAGCCCCTGAGCCAGAGCAGCCTCCACGCCCTCCTGGAGCCACAGTTCTCACTGGCCGGGCTCCGATGCCTCGGTCTCGGCTCTGGAGATTTCTGATTTCGGCTGGTCTAAGGTTCGAGTGTGAGCACTGGTATCTCCAAACATTGCCAAGTGAGGCTCATGTGCAGCCTAGATGGAGAGTCGCTGGCTTAGAGCCTCCTGGCTTGGCTGGCTGTGTTTGCGAGTGAGGCTCTTCAATGGCACAGCTGTGGCTCCGCTGATTTAGCATAAACATTTGGCTAGGAAGGGGAGGAGTGCACACACACAGAGGACAGTTCAGGAGCCACGGCGTGTCCTTAGGTCAACACTTCATCCGCTCATTCCCTCCACAAACATTTAGGAAGGCTGCCGCGTGTGTACGTGCTCAGTCTTGTCACCTCCCTGTGATCCCGCGGATGGTAGCCCACCAGGCTGCCCAGGCTGTGGAATTTTCCAGGCCAGGCAAGAATACTGGAGCAGGCTGCTACTAGGATGCAAAAAATTCGTGATGACTTCACTGACCTCGAGGCCAAACCAGCTCTCTGGAAGAAGCATTTGGACAGTCTGCAGGCCCCCCAGGGCCCCCCACAGGAGTGCTTCCTCTTCCTTGTTCATGCCCAGTTAGTCACTTATAAGGCGCCTATACTTGCAGACGGTTTGACAGAACATACATTATCCTGCTGCCTAAAGTCTCCGGTTGCTATACAGAGTGCAGTTGCTTGAATTATGACAGTTATCTCTGCTAATAAAGTTCACTTTTTCACTGCAGAGTTATAAATACATATGCAGCTTGCATACCCAAGGAGGCCCGTGGGAGGAAACGCTGAGGCCCTTCTAGAACAGAAACCACTCCCTAGCACCTGCACATATATAACTTTCCTGATTCCTCTACCAAAACGGTTCATTTTCCGGGCTTACCGATGGCAAGGATTTACTGTAAAGAGCCCTGGTAAGAAAATCAGCATCCTTGACACGTGCTTTTTTTTTTTCCTCGGGCCCCGAGATAGACTCACAGCCATCCACTTTCCTTCTCCCAGGGGAAAACTGGTCCCACAGTCTCTGAGGAAACTGGGATGGCATTAACTGGGATGTTAAAAAAAAAACAGCCAAATGTTGATCAGGAAAAAGCGCACAGGAAGGGGCATGGCCAATCTTGTAAATTTCAGCCACACAAATGAGTTCATTAAATCAAGGATGTGCTCAGGGTGCTGGCAAGGCATATAAAGCAGCAGCAGACAAATAAATTTGGCTGGTGATCTGGAGAAGAAAAGCTAGTGGAGGAATTTTCTAAGAGGAGCTTTAACTTTTTACTGAATGCAGTAATACTATAAATTACCACTCAGCTGGCTATAATTTTACCATTTAGCACAGGATTGAGAGACTTGCAAGAGAGTGTACCATGTGGGTAATAACAGGTAAGGTGGTGAATGTTACAGAGCACATTTCTTTAAAATATATAGCTAGCTACTTTGGTAACAAATATGCTTATTTGCAAAGAAAATTACGATTATGGTGTGAACAGCATGTAGCAAGCCTGGCTGGTTGTCTCACCAACAGCTTTTTCCTCCTGGTTTCCTTTTTAGTCAAGCACTGATTCGGGAGCGGGATGGGTGTCTAGCCTCCCCCATGTGACACAGTGGAGAGTGACTTTTCCCTACTCCCGGGATCAAAGGGAAATCCTGCCTTCCTAAGCCAATCTCAGGGACCATTCCCTTGTGCTAGGGTTGGTGCAGGGACGGGTGTGCTGGGTGGTCTGCAGCCAGTAGCCATCACATTCCCTTCTAAGTCTAGGAAGCAAGCTTCCCTGGAGTCACTGTCTTTGTCTGTTCCAGAGGATTGCTCACAAGAGGAATTCGGGGCAAAAGGATGGTGTCAATCCTCTAGGGTTGGCTCCTTTCGCACGTGAGCAGGTGAGAGATTGTCAGCAGCTTCCTGGCACAGACTTGAGGAATCACACATTCAGGTGGTGCTTCAGGCTAAGATTACGCAGGCTCAAACTCCCTGATCATCAAGGATAGTTCCCAGCTCCCCCAGCAGTCACGTGCACCCCTAACTCTGTATCAAGTCTTTTCTATCCAGAATGCAGAGAATGGCCTTCGTTGTCCAACTGAACCCTGACTGACACAGCAGCTGTGTGGTCCAGTTCTGCCCAATAGGCTGGACGGCTTCTCCTCACTCCTGAGAAGGAGACACTGGAAGAGACATCCTCTCTCTGCCTCTGTGATGATGTGCCACTTGGATGTGGTGCCTGGGACAGCTGTTCTGACTTGCCGCCAGCCTGAAACAGAGCCAGTGTGCAAGTACAAGGCAGAAATGCCCAGCAAGAGGAGCTGGAGCTGGAGCTCAGCCACTGGCTGAGAATTTTCAGCCAGTGGCCTTCTAATTAATTGGTGCAGACTCATTCTTTAGGAATCAAATGTAAAGATGGCTTTACGTGGACCGCCATGTTTTCTAGGGATGAGACATTACACAGTGATTCACGCTTGCTCCGCATCTTTTCCTTTCCATATTCCCACCCTTTTGGCAAGGAATATCCAGATCACCTGTGTCTCAGACGCATCACACACCTCTGAAATAGCTATGTGAGTTATAGGCTTGCACTGGCAGATGTGTCTACAATATTACTGCATCTTTATCTTTTTTCTAACCCCAATTAGACTTTAAAATACACTTACATTGCCAAAGCATTAGCAGCACGATTCTATGATTTTGAATTTCTTCTTGTTTTATCAACATACAGGCAGTCCTCACATTGCATGGTAGTTTAAGAGCATAAAAATGTCCATGTAAGCTGAAACAGAGCAAAGTAATCTTAATAATCAATAGGACAAACGACAATTGTTTCATTAGATTTTTTTGCCAAAATATTAAAACCTTTTACTTTCATTTGTAGATGGACAGGAATAGTTTAAAAACAGCAACACTGTAAATCAATGAAGTTAGAACACACCCTCACACCATTCACAAAAATAAACTCAAGACGACTTAAAGACTTAAATATAAGACATGACAATATAAAACTTCTAGAAGAGAACATAGGCAAAACATTTTCTGACATAACTCATACCAATGTTTTCCTAGGTCAGTCTCCCAAGGCAATAGGGGAAAGAAAAGGCAAAAATAAATAAATGAGACCTAATTAAACTTAAAAGCTTTTGCATGGCAAAGGGAACCATAAACAAATTAAAGACAACTTATGGACTGGGAAAAAGTACTGCAAATGATGCAACTGACAAGGGCTGAATTTATAAAATGTACAAACAGCTCATACACCACCAACAAAAAAACAAACACCACCATCAAAAAATGGGGAGAATACCTAAATAGACATTTCTTCAAAGAAGACAGATGGCCAATAGGCTCATGAAAAGATGCTCAATGTTGGTAAATATTAGAGAAATGCATATCAAAGCTACAATGAAGTAGCACCTCACCCCAGTCAGACATTAAAATGTCTACAAATAACAAGTGATGGGGAGGGTGTGGAGAAAAGGAAACCCTCTTATACTTTTGATGGGAGTGTAAACTGGTGCAGCCATTATGCAAAACAGTATGGAGTTTCCTCAAAAAAACTAAAAATAGAGTTGCCATATGATCCAGCAATCCCCCATGGAGGGCAAGGTGGGGGGAAGGGAGGTGTGGACTGGGAGTGGGCTTATATCCAACAAAACTACAATTCAAAAATACACATGCTAAAATAATAAAAAATTTTAAGAATAGGATAAAATAAAAACTTTTAATTTTGAAAGTTTAAAAAAAATAAATAAGAAAATTCACATCACCTTTATGTTCATAGCAGCACTATTTACAACAGCCAAGACATCTCCTAAATGTCCATTTAGGTACAACACCTAAATATGTCCATCAACAAATGAGTAGACACAATAGAATATTACTCAGCCATAAAGAAGAATGAAATAATGCCATTTGCAGCTGCATGGATGGACCTGGAGATGATCATGCTCAGTAAAGGAAGTCAGAAAGAGAAAGAAAAACACCATATGATATCACTTATATGGAGAATCTAAAATATAAAACAAATGAATATATCTTACAAAACAGATATGACTCACAGATATAGAGGGGAGGAGGGGTGGGGAAGGGATGGATTGGGAGTTTGGGATTAGCAGATGCAACTTTATTGAGCTGGTCAAAATGTTCATCTTATGTAAAATCTTAGGGGAAAAACTCTAATGAACACTTAGGCCAACCCAATATTTTACACAGAATGGACAAATAACAAGGTCCTACTGTATAATGCAAGGAACTATTCAATATACTGTAATAAACCATGACAAAAGAATATAAGAAAGAATGTATATAAAACTGAATCACTTGGCTGTACAGCAGAAATTGACACAACATTGTAAACCAATTATACTTCAATAAAATAAAATTTTTAAAAAATGGCAAAACTAATATGTAATGGATTATTATTTAAAACAGAAACACTGATAAAAGATTTTATCTCTTGGTAAAAACTGTATCAAATAGTTTGAACAGTGCTCCCCTTTAGGGCATCTTTTCTGTGCCTTAGCAAATATCACACCCTTTCTAACTTTAGATCAGCTTTCAATATTTTATCCTTTGCACTTTCAGTCGAATATCCTTGAGAGTTCCTTTAACATGATATTTTTACAGTGTACTTCTTTTGGGACACCACCTTTTGGCCACACTCTTTATTTACATTTATAAATTTGCTTTCTAGCTGTGTACACTCTCTTCCTTTCTTTTTATCGGCTGCACCACATGTGGGATCTTCCTATACTTTCTTGAATAGCAGCAATGTCAACATTCTGAATATAGAAATATATTAGATATATTTCAGATATATGAGATAATACATTAGATAATATCAGAATAATCCTGATACAGTAACAACTGTTACTACCATTGGTGTAAATTCCATTCCAAAACTACCTGCTGCTGCTGCTAAGTCGCTTCAGTCGTGTCTGACTCTGTGCGACCCCATAGACGGCAGCCCACCAGGCTCCGCCGTCCCTGGGATTCTCCAGGCAAGTACAATGGAGTGGGTTGCCATTTCCTTCTCCAAAGCATGCAAGTGAAAAGTGAAAGTGAAGCTGCTTGGTTGTGGCCGACTCTTCCCAACCCCATGGACTGCAACCCACCAGGCTCCTCCATCCACGGGATTTTCCAGGCAAGTGGGGTGCCATTGCCTTCTCCGCCAAGACTACCTGGTGGGTTCTAAACCAGTCACAGCAGGACTTCCCTGGTGGTCAGTGGTTAAGACTGAGCTTCCAATGCAGGGGGCGTGGGTTTGACCCCTGGTCAGGGAACTAGGATCCCAAATGCTGCAGCCAAAAAGTAAAAAACAGTAGCTTCATGGAGCACAGTGTTGAAGAGGACTTTGAGGCTATTGTCTAGTGCTGCAGTTGATGGGCAAGGTCTGTCAGACTTCAGGGAAAAGAGAGAAGAGAGGATACATGCTCTGTACTGGCCATTCCTGGTCTAGAACCTGGCTCTTAGTTGCCAGCACATCAAAAGATATTTGATCTCTCAGGGGTGGACTTGTGCCAACCAACCAAATTTATAAGACATTGATTTATTGACTTTAACTAGAAATGCAAGTGTGCACCAGTTATGAAGTGAGACTCTGTATGGCATAAATAAGAAATTTAGTCTTTGGAGTCAGCTTGACCTAACTTTGTACCATGGCTGCACCTCTCACCAGCTGCATAGCTCCTCAGACCACTCAGCTGATACGGACATTGACCCTGTGTTTGAGATTGGAAGGGAAAAAAATGTCCTGATTAATGACCGATGTCTGAAGCAGTCAGGGGGGAGGAGTAGGGGTGGCTATTTTGGTATATATTGCTGTATGTTCTAGTTTTTACAGGTTGATGCACTATCTTCCAATGAGAAGTCCATTTTCTAGAATTTAAAAACTGCTTTTGAGTGTGGATATAAAAGATGTTTGCTGCAGGATTTTTATGGCTGGTATCATCAAGCTATCTTCATGTTACCAACACAAATGACACATGAATAAGAAATGATCATTTGTGGTTCTGGACAGCCACTCTCCTGCCCAGAGCAAGAGAAAAAAATTGTCAAATTTTGTATCC